TCTGATTTCTTGTGCGGGTTTTCGGGTTCGTTTCTAGTTCAAGACACTTTTGTTTGAGGACAAACAAAATAATAAGTTGGGGAGAGTTGTTAAGGTCCAAATTGTGAATACTTTTGACTATATTTTATGGTCATTTCAATTGGTTTCCTTGATAATTTAGTAGAATATCTAGTAGTTTTAGTACATTTATGCTAATTTCCGATTTTATTGTAAATATTGTGAATTATGATCATTTTGATGCTCTTTGACATGTCTTCTTGCTTATATTTGATGATAGGAACAATTGGTGAAGGAAAGAAGACCTAAAAGTGGATTTTTGAGGAGTTAGTGTCGGTAACTCATACAAAGCGAGTTTTTCAGTGCGGTATCAACGTGCACTTTCTATTTGAGGTAGTAGCTAAAGTCTCCAACCGCGCTTAAAGCGCTTTCTTGGAAATTGTCTCTACTTTTGCGGAACACGCTCTTGATAGCGCTTAGCGCGGTGCCACTTACTGCACTTTGTGCACTTGCTATAACTATCTTCTTTTGGAGATATTTTCACCAACTCTTGTACTTTACACTTTTCAGCATTTTTAGAAGATAGAAAGGGTTTTCTAGGTCAAAAATCTTAGGAACTCAAGGAGAAGTGAGAATCAAATCTTTGGAGCATCAATCCTTGATTCTTCGACTTTGATGCTAGCAAAGCTTCTTTTCTTACTTATTGATTAAACTACCATGGTGATGGGTAGGTAAACACTTTTGTGTCAAGATTAGAGGTAGTTAATCTTACTATTATGTATTTCTTTTGATCTTTTATATGTGAACAAGGTTTATGATCAATAAATGAGGAAGATCTTTACTTTTAATGATGTATTTATGGTTTGAATCATTCACTCTAGATATATATTTTCCATGTCTTGATCCAATTTCTTCATCTATTAACCAACAAACTCTAGACATAAATTTGAAATTTAATATTTTCTTTGTTTTGATCTTTATGTTTATTTTTTCGATTGTTATTTCGAGAAATCATCTAGCGATTAAAACAATAATATTCGCAGAGCCTCTTTAGAAGTAAACGGATTCGCGAGGATACGCGATTGTATTGATCGAAACTAAGCTCACATGCTTGATTAATCGGATACTTTTGAAGAGGATTAACAAAATCTAATATTCACATGCCTTTCTTAAAACAAAACATATTTCCCCTAGTTTACTCTTTGCAACAAACTTATGTTACAAAACAAGAAATATTTTGAAAACTCTTTACTTAGAACGTTAAATTGTTGAATGAAGAGCATTTATATATCTTGCGTATAATCCATGTGGATACGATAAAACACCCACCTAAAACTGTTTCAACAGTATGTACCTGATTTGAAGAGAAATTTGATTTCTCTTGGTGAATTCGACAAGAAGGGATATGCTTTTCAAGGAGAGAAAAGTATTCTATGAGTCATGAAAGGGTCGAAGCAAGTCTTGAGAGGCGTGAAGAAACAAGGCTTGTATACCCTTGAGGCTGAAGTTGTAAGTGGTTCGACAAATATTGCATCCATGAAATTGTTGTCGAAAACAGAAATTTGGCACATGAGATTGGGCCATGTTAGTGAAAGGGGTCTGGTAAAATTAGGGAAACAAAGGCAAACAAAGAACTCATGGATTTCTTGATTACATCCATGTTAATCGTTGGGGGCTTACAAGGTGTCCATCACATTAATAAGTAAGGTATTTTCTATCCATAGTTGATGATTATTCCAGGAAATTATGGGTATTCATTCAGAAGACTAAGGATGAAACTTTTGATAATTTCAAAGGTTGAAAGACTCTGGTCGAAAATCAGATAGGCGTAAAGGTTAAGAAGTTGAGAACCGACAATAACCTTGAATTATACAATGAAGCGTTCGACAACTTTTGTGTTATCTCAGGTATTGCCAGGCACAGAACTACTGCATGGACTCCACAACAAAATGGTTTGGCAGAAAGGTTTAATCAAACTATTTTGGAAAGAGTTAGATGCATATTGACTAGTGCTGAGTTAAAAAGGTGTTTTGGGTTAAGGTTGTTTCGACACCAACAATCTGATAAATAGATGTCCTTCGACTGTGTTAGATATGAAGACACCTGAAGAAGTTTGGTCGGGACATCCACCTAGTCTTGACAAACTGAGAGTATTTGGTTACGTGGCCTATGCTCACATTAGGTAAGCCAAGGTCAAACCTAGAGCCCTGAAATGCATGTTCATGGGATACCCTGAAGGAGTCAAAGCTTATACGTTATGGTGCCTAGATCTAGGTCACAAGAGGTATATCACCAGAAGAGATATAGTTTTCAATGAAGTAGAGATGGATTTCAAGAAAACTGATGATGTTGTCGAAGAGTTGGAATAGAGAGAGATTTCTATTGAGGTGGAGCATGTTGATGCTGAATTGTGTACCCCAAATGAAGTCGAAGAAGAAGCAGAAGCTGTTGCTGAAGATGAGGAGAATGATAATGACTACCTACTAGTAAGAGGCAGGTCAAGGAGAGTCATCAAGCCACCTCAGAGATTTGAGTATGCATATCTTATAGCTTATACCTTAATCTCTACAAGTGAGGTTCTCGATGAAGAACCTAGAGACTATAAGGAAGTTACGAGGAGTCAAAAGAAGACTGAATGGCTGAAGGCCATGAATGATGAGATGAAATCTCTTCATGATAACAACACATGGGAACTAATCAAGAAATCTGATGGAGCAAGGTTAGTCAGCTGTAAATGAGTTTTCAAAGTTAAGGAAGGAATAAAAGGAGTGGCGTCGAAAAGATACAAGGCAAGATTGGTCGCTAGGGGTTTCACTCAGAAAGAAGGTGTCGACTTTAATGATGCGTTCTCTTCTGTTGTGAAGCACAGATCCTTTCGAATGTTGCTTGCCACGGTGGCACAGTTCGACCTTGAATTGGAATAGATGGATGTGAAAACTGCGTTCTTGTATGGTGATCTAGATGAAACAATCCTGACGACGCAACCTAAAGGGAATGACCAAAAGGGGAAGGAAGATTGTGTGTGCAAGCTGAAGAGATCCTTATGTGGACTGAAACAATCTCCTCGATAGTGGAATAGAAGATTCGACAAGTTTATGGCACGCATAAGTTTCATTAGACGTTAGTTCGACCATTGTATTTACTTCAAAATTCGACCTGGTAATTCATTTTTAATTTTATTGTTTTATGTGGATGATATTCTAATAGCAAACGACAATGTCGAAGATGTAATGAGGGTGAAGGTTGAACTCAATAAGGAGTTTGACATGAAAGATCTGGGAGTTGCGTCCACGATTCTTGGGATTGACATCTGAAGAGATAGAAAGCAGTCAAAATTATGCTTATCTCAAGATGCGTACCTACGGAAGATTCTCAAAAAGTTTGGTATGTCGAATTTAAAGCCTGTTGTGACTCCGATAAACCCTCAATTCAAGATGAATATAGATCTGTGTCCCAATACTGATGTCAAAAGAGCTTATATGAATAGCATTTCATATGCTAATATAGTGGGTTCTTTGATGTATGTTATGGTCTGTACTAGACCCGACATAGCATATGCAATAAGTCTTGTAAGCAAGTACATGACAAAACTTAGAAAGGCTCACTAGAAAGCATTGAAGTGGATTCTAAGGTACATAAATGAGTCTCTAAACATAGTCCTAACTTATGGTGGAGTCTTGGGTGAAGATAGTAAAGCAGAAATCAAAGGATATGTCGACTTAGATTATGTAGGTTGTATGGATTCTAGAAAATCTATTTCTGGATATGTGTTCACTATGTTTGGCACAACAATCAGTTGAAAAACAACACTTCAAAAGGTTGTTGCCTTATCAACTACTGAAGTGGAATATATCGCCCTAACTGAAATTGTGAAGGAAATATTGTGGCTTAAAGGTTTTGAAAAGGAGCTTAAACTTCAAGGCCGAGTTGTCACTGTTAAATGTGATAGTTAAAGTGCAATACACTTGTCGAAGAACTCATCCTATCATGAGAAAACTAAGAACATCGATGTGTGGCTTCACTTCATCAGATAGATAATTGAGCGCGATGAAGTCCAGGTGCTGAAGGTTTCGACTGATGACAATGTTGCTGATATGATCACCAATATGTTGTCAAGTTGTAAGTTTCTCCACTATATGCAGTTGATAAAGCTGCATGATGAAAGCTAGTTTATTCCCTGTTGTTGTAGAGTTAGATATAAGATGGAGATTTGTGAGATTTTGGGTCGAACTCTACCTTTGTCAAGGAATAACTTTCATGTGTTTCGACAGGAGACAAGTATGAAGTCGATGATGGGTCTCATGCTGTAGTCGAATGATACATATTGTAGTCGATGTCAGTTCTAATATGCATTGTCGAAATGTATGTTGAATTGGGTCTTGTGTTAAAGATCCAATTGTTTAGCTGCGTTGCAAGTTATCTAGTTAGTCTATAAATAGGTTAGATCACTCAGGTTGTTGAGTGAGGTCAATTGTGATATTCATTTGTAATCATTTGTAAACCCTTATGAAAAAGTGAATAGTAAACAATTTGCCCTAATCTTTCTCTTCTTATTTCTTTATCATTTCTTCTTACTCTCTTTGATCTAACCGTTTCATTGTTTTCCAAAAACTCCATTTCTCAATCTTGATTTGTTGAAAGGTATCGTTTGCGATCACAAACACTTGCAATACAAGTAACTCTCCAAAAAATGCTAACTAACTTGTGACTTGCAATTTAAGTTGCATATCAAAGCCTAACTAACTCAACAAAGTCTAATAGTTTAAACATTGTTAATAATTTTCTCATGATCTAGTTTGAATTCCATTATTATTGGGCATCATTATCACACTTCACTATGAAAAAAATCCTCATTACACTTCATTGGAAAAAATCCACAAGTTTTTATGCCAAATTGTACACTTTGGTATAGAGTGGGAGCTTCCCATGTTATTTATAAAACTTAAATACATGACAGTGAAATACTTTCACATCATACCATCCACAATTTTTAAATTGTGCATTTAAAAATTACAATCTACAAAAATGATAGAGTTATTTAAAGAACCAGAAGTGTATCCAGTTGAATTAATAAGCCCAGTGTTAAATTGCTCTCTAACAGAACTCGCGAAGAAAGCCTGTTTCACAACTTCACCACCTACCTTCCGATCAATCCGTTGAACATGAGATTCACCTTTCAACATTAATGAACTAGAATGTTGAACATGAGATTCACCTTTCAACATTAATGAACCAGAATGTTGAACATGAGTATGAGCTTTCAACGACGATGTATATTCTTCATTTTTTACACCAGTGCTAGCCTTTGTTTTTGTTCCTTTACAGTGAGAACATGCACCAGGTGACCAAACTCCACTGCTACAGGTTTTAACAACAACCTTACGTAAATCAACACTACGATGTTTAATTGGACCTTCAACTTCGACAACAAAACTATTACCTTTGTTTCGATAAATTTTAGCCCTAACAGAAAGACCAACATCTTTGGTTACATAATAATGTGCTAGATTTACTATGCAAGCGTTTTCAGATTTTCCCTTTTTCTTCATTTCAAGAACAAAAAGACCTTCTCTGTAGGAACAATGGTAGGAAACAACAGTAGTCTCTATTAAGCAATTTGGTTTGGTCCTTGTGAAAGATTTTGGACAAGCAGATGAATTCAGTCCTGTTATTTTAAATATAAGTAGTTACAAATGTTCTATATTTTTTATATTAGCAGTGTCAACGGGTCAGTATATCTATATCCAATGAGTTATATTAGTGAATTCATATGGTCCAGTAATACCTGTTATTCCTCCTCGAAGAGTGTCACGATCAATTCGTGAGATGTTGACAGAAAATTCAGTTTTGTTGTTAGCGGTGTCGAGTAATCCAAAATGTATGCTCTCAATACCGTTGTTGTCGTTGATTGCTTTCAGATTAAAACCACAAGTGTGGTTTTTCAGACCTGTTTTGTACTTTGCACCCCAAGCTTCTGTGTGATCATTTTCATTCCATTTGCTCATAGAAACCTCAAAAGAATCTCCCCATCGTGCTATCGAACCAGTTGCACTTGTTTTAAAAGAGGTACTATCTTTGCCAAGGTTGGTGTGAGTACTGTGACTTGTTCCCATCGATTATATATTTTGTTTTGGAAATATATTTTTCAATGTTAAGCTACAGCCACAGATAACTATGTGACTATATATGAGTGCATTTCCTTCAATTTGTTCCTTCTTTTTTTATTGAAAATTTAATATGAGTGTAGCATCGTTTTAGAAAAGTTAGTGGAGAATCTCATGCTGAGAAGGTGGCAACAAGTAAAGGGAAATCAAGGGATGTTATAGTTCCTGTGAGAATCTAATTCTGTGACTTCCTTTTAGTAATTTAATATGGTAGGCGCAGCTGGCCTAACCTTAATATTATAGTTAACCGGTCTTAAAATTTTGAATACTCCTTTGTAATTTTAAAATAATAATAATCATTATAAATTTACTTATAATTGTGAATGTTAAGAAAATTAAATTATAAATCAAATAGATCGAGATTAGAATCGTGATTGAAATTAATTTTTTTTACAAGTACTTCAAGCACTCTCAAATTTTTTAGAGTTGGAACGTAGGAATACCTAAGATAATTCAGTCTATATTCGAGTTTGCATAAGATTGACGAAAACTCGAATGTAGGGAAGATGAAATCTGAAATTTTGTGTGAAGAGGATAGACCTTTAGTTGTATTTTACTGAATTCAGAATGCTCAATTTATAGGTCAAACTGGTGTTGTTTTATAAGGTTGCGACCTTTGATGAAACACACACTTTCAGCAATACTTTTACTAAATGTTGCATTGCTTTGCCTTCAACAACATTTTTCAAATGTTGCACTGTTTCACCTGCAGCAGCACTTTTAGTGCTTTTTTTGGGCCGGTTTACCTGAGATCCACCAGCGAACCGGCCTAATAGAACCGGACCAATGGGCCGACCGAAATGCTACTCGGTCCGAGAATGGATAACTTTTTTATTCGATACCCGAAAATAGAACCAAACCAAGTATCCAATAAGATCCCGACATTGGCAAAGTATATATTCTTCCATCCAAACCCTAGTCAACAGTCAACACAAATCTATCATCTCCCTCTCCAACTCCGCCTCCTTTTCTCTCTCTCTTTATCTAATCTGGGTTTTTTTCGTCTGGGTTTCTTGTAATGTCTTCAACCTTTCATTTTTTTTCGTTTTATTATATATTTTGTCTACCATGTTCATTAATCTCTGAGTGTTTTATTTATTTTAGGTGTTTGAAATGATAATAAACATGTTTTAGTTTTAGATAACATGTATTAATTGTTATTTGTACACGCATGTTTCAATTTTGACCTGAGTTTTGACTTCTGTTGTTGAGTGTTGTAAATTATTATATTATTGTTTGATTGATATTGTATTTTCTTCTATGTCTTTTTAAGATTCATCATTGACTCCAACCATGAATGATCTTGATATTGATATCGATCTTGATGGGGAGGAGACAATGGATGAAAAATATAGAGATTGGTGAGATGATTGATTTGGAACTTCCAACTGATGGGTCAACCACTCCAGGTGACTGTTCGAACTGCAGTAAAGCGGCAAGAAGCAAAAATTAAGTTTTGGAAGAATTCCCTCCGGAATTTATATCGTCTCCATAGGGATCGGTGCGAGGGAAAGAATGTCGTTCGACGGTCTCTACATTTCTATGCTTGTTGATAAATTGTTTGACAGATTCAAGGTACAACAGATAAAAGCTGAAAATATAAAGACGGAAAATGTAAAGTAAAGACTTAAAATAAACGGAGCCTTGTTAAGATTGGATCTCATCAATTGATAACACATGCATTCTTCTGACAAGTTAAACATAAACTAATCATTCATCTAATACCGTCACGTATCACCCACAACCAAGGTTATGTCTAATTCAAAGTCGAGAGAACAATCGTATTATCTCATTGGTGATGTCTCACGCAACTCACAACACAAGGTATTAAGAACTGATACTCACGCAAATGTTAAATCTAAATCTATGTCTAGAGTTTAGAACCTAACAGGTATTTATCCCAGATCTAGATCTGAAAAGTATATTTCTGTAGCGGTTTAAATCAAAGTGTAAATAAGTAAACAAGGATAACATACATATCATATAAATGATTAATTCATATAAAACGTCATGATCAGAATGCGTACATACGATTAAACCTTTTTAACATGTATTCAACGGATTTATGTATGTGAACATAGTTCTTCATCTCTATTATCACAAGCTTGATACTAGTGAATATCAGCTCACAAAACTATACCAAGAGTTTGTTCATTTATAGATGAATATCTTAAAACCATTATATGAAATCAAAGACAACATCAATATTGAATCAAAACTAGTTCACAAATACATAAATTAGAAGAAATACATAAAGTATCAATAGATTACATCCAACCCCAACAAGAGATCGAAGCACTTACTAGAAGATCAAACTCCGATTTCCTTTGATTTTGGCTTCTCCCACTTAAGGTTTTGTTTCTCTCTCTAAAATATGCTCGGAATGAAGAGAGATAAAGTTGGATACCAAAAATATCTAGCAAGTTCCCTTATATACAAGTTACAAAAAATGCCTATAAGTGGCACCGCGCTAAGCACCAGCAGAGCGCGCTTAACGCGACCAGTTCAAAGGTGGAAAAAACACAGAGAGTGCGCTAAGCACGGTCTGAAACCCTCATCTACTTCCTCTGGTCCAAAATGGTGGGCTAAACACGTTTTTTCATTAAATTGTCGCAAAAGTGATCTTCCAAACCTTCTTCTAACATCCAAGGGCTCCTAACATCACATCAGGCAAGAAAACCTATCAAAATGCATCAAAATGGTCATAATTAAATTTATTTACAAAAAAGTACAATATAATACTAAATGATTACATATTCACACTAAAGTTGAGGTTTTCACTAGAAAAAGAAATTAATCAAGCCAATAAGGGCCAACAAACTACACATATATTTAACACATTTCGACACTCATCAGAGACCAAGATCATAGTATTCAGAGAAATACCTTTGGTAAAGCTCCTCGTCCCAAAACATTTGTTGTTCATACTAAAATGCTACTTATTGAAATGCCTGATGGTGTTAAGAAGTGTAAGTGCAGATGATATGGTAAGCTTTACACCTATGGTGTGAAGTGTGTCACACCCTAATTTTTGAACCTACGGTCCCACCTCTTTATGCATTATCTCATATAACCTTCTTTTGGGTATAGGTATTTATGTGCATGATTTCAGGATTAGCAAATCTGTATAGGCACGTTAACTTAATGTTTCAAGTATCTTCCTGTCAAGAATCCAGGTCTTTCTTTCGCAAAGGAGAATTGAGGTTTAAAGTGTTAAGATTTGGATTTTTCTACAAGTGAGACGTCATTAGTCAACTCAAAACATGTTCAAAGAGGTTCATACCAATCAACAAATTCAATACGAAACCCAAGTTCAAACTTACAAATGGGCCTCTTCCTTCAAAAGTTTCAATATCCCGAGCAACATTCTTTTAAGACTCATGGATTTCTTTCATATTTCTTTCACAAGAGTATACACTAGAATCATTTTCAAAACAGTTAATTCAAGCATAGTTCAAGGTTATGGCTACAAGCAATCGGTAACTATATTACATCCTTTTACAAAAGTCTTACAAACCAATGAGAAATGTATATGGACCACATTCAACTTATAGAGTTCAAGCTCACAAATTTAACTCATACAACTCAAGTTGTCTCTTTTTTAGAAATTGAAGACTCATGCTACATAAAATAGGATTTCCACAAGACCGAATTCATGGTGAACATTCGTTTGACTTACGACCGATGCACTTTAAGGCTATGTTTTTTTATTGGTGCAAAGTTATTTCAAGATATAACCAAGTGGTTTCAATCGGATAAACATCCCTTGGCATAAAAGTGGGATCTTTGTTCGTAAGGTACATGAAGACTATACAACATTAGGAAAAAAATTTTATTGGCAGAATTAAATACAAGTTTTGAAAAAAAAACAACAGGAACATCTACATCAATCAGGTTCTTCCTTTAAGTAACAAAGAACTTCAGCAGCAATAGGCATAGTAGAATTCACCGGATTACTAATGGTATGAATAAAAACCCTGGGGAAATTATCTGCATCAGCAGACACCAAGTTTCTAACTATACCAGCATTGATATTGAAAAGGTCATCACAAGTCATGCCTAGCAGGGACATATATTGAAGAAGAGATAGCATTTGGATTCCTCAGAACATGAACGGCATTTCAAATTTGAAGAATGTTTATGAATTCAACATCGACCCTCATGGCCTCTCCTTTTGGAAATCATGCTTGTGGAGCCTCGTTTTCAAATTCGAAAATGTGAGATTTTATTGTGAATTCTTTCTTTTGCCACATGTCGTATCCTTAACACCGTTTTTATGTCAAAGCCGTTGTCTGCACAAGAAATCCATGAAGTTAAAATCATATAAGAAGGATTCGGTCACTATCGCGGACTTACCGCCTTAGGCATAATTTCACATCCATCTTGCCAGCAGGGCTGTTTGGTATTGCTACAAGAATTTCCTTCAAAACACTTTCACAAGGTCAATCCCATCATAGTACCTACAACTTGCAAAGGTTACAAATGTAATCAAGAGATAATGCTTTTTATGGACAGATCACTTATTTGACATCAATGATAGAGAAACGATGCCTCAAATACCTTACTGTACGATCTTAATAAAAGGGGTTCATCACCTCACGATTCATCATCTCTCAGTGCCTGTAATAAACATGATACGGTTCAATGAGAATTTAAAATCTTTCCAAAGATGTATTAGACATACCAAAGTCATGAAATCAGATTGTATCTCAAATAGGTCATCCTCACCAATCCATCTTCCGCCCCAAATCAATCAAAAGCTCTTCATCACCCTCACTGACTGCTTTCCTGCCTGCATTGTTAACTCATTGGCCCCTCAGGCACACCATGACAAAACAAAAGGAGAACCATATAAGTTATCATAACCACTTTACACAAAAGTCATAAGCATGGAAACAAAAGAAGAGAGTACATTATAGTATCAAAAGCTTTCAAGGAAATCATGTATC